GTAGCTCTCGAGCGGCGCCCGCCCCATGATGCCCCCTCGTGGGCGCCCTTTAGTGATGGGGGCTGCTGGTCGTCGCCCTCGGCATACTTCCCACCGATTCCTCAGCTCCTTCGCCCGGCCGAGGAAGACCCGGACGTCGCCGGTCCCCAGCGCGGCGCGCAGCGGATTGTCGGCCCTCTCGAGCGCGGCGAGCACGTTCTGGTGGTAGCGGTGCGTGCCATTGGCGGCGGCGCCCGCGGCGGCGCCATTCGCAGAGGCAGGAACGGGGGCGGGCCCGCGCTCGACGGCGCGGCCAAAGACGCCGAGGAGGTGGACGAGGGCGCGCTCGAGGAGCATGTAGTACTCGTAAAAGTCGAGCTTGAACATGAGCTCGGCGTCGTCCTCGCGCGTCAGGGCGCGGCGGTAGCCGTCCTGCAGGTAGGGCAGCTTCCACTTCATGCGGCGCACAATCTGGACGTAGCGGCGGAGCTCGCGCTGGGCGGCCGACAGCGGGGGCGGCGGCGCTGGTGACGGTGCTGCTGCCGCGGACGTCTCGGCGGCCGGGTCGCGCAGCTTGGGCGCTGGGTTGGGCGTCTCCCACCATTGCGTGGCCGGGGTTATGGCGGATGTCTCGCGGGGACCGACGGCGATGCTGCTGCTGCCGCCGCCGCTGCGGGGGGTGTAGGTCGGGGTGCCGCGGGAGGACCAGGCGGGGGAGGTCGTGGAAGCCCATTTCGAGGAGGAGAGGCCGCCGGGCTTGATGCCGCGCGCCGTGGTGGGGGCAGTCTGCATGTTGGCCTCGCAATGGTGAAGCGGCTGGTGGAGCGATTGGGGCAGGCCAGCTTGACAAGGTCTTGACTGATGCTTAGTGATGCTTGAGATGCTTGGTGATGTTGGTGATGGTTGCCGAAGCTATGGTGAAGCTATGGTGATGCTTGCTGAAGCTCTGGTGAAGCTATGCTGTGCTCATGTGCTGGTCAAGTCGTGCTATATCGCGTCAATCATGTCCTTCATACCCCGTCACGCAGCGAATGCTGCTTGTGGAGGAGGCAATGGAGCAGCAGCGCAGCCTCGGCGAGAGCAAGATGGAGCGTTGGTTGGTTCCATGCCGTGTAGTTGGAAGTCTGAACAAGGGGGGGGGGGGGGGGGGGGAAAAGGAGGGGGGGGAAACAAGGAGGGGGGGGAAACAAGGAGGGGGAAACAAAGGGCCGGTGCCTGGAGCTAGCAGCCTTGGCTTCCTAGCGAAGAGGCCGCCCCCCTGAAGCCGCTGACGGGCTCTAACGAGATGGCCAGCCGCCTGTGGCCCAGCACCTGACCTCGACCACTACAGCATCCAAGCCAGCCTGCCAGCCTCGTCCAGGCATCAACTGCAATGCACCATCTTCCGCGGCAAGAATCAAACAAGTGCCCTGGAACCAGCGGCTCAGAGTCTTCACATACGAATACCCTATCGTCGATATACAAATCTTGTCCGATACCATGCGGCCCAAGCCCGCCTGCCCGCCCCCAGAACCCTTACTCGCCCCTTGAGACGACCTTTTGCTCATGTTCGACATTGATCCAAACAAAACACACACACACACACACACACAAACGCCGAGCCAGCAACCCGCCCCCCCAAAACGCCTTGTTCATCAGTCGGCCAGCCACGTCTTGCCTCGAAAGGCGTTCTTTACACCTTCTTCGTCGCCTTGGCCGTGCCAATATGGGTATTGTGAACCTGCGTCCTGTTAGCTTGTCCTCTGCCGAAGCCCTTCCTCCCCCCCGCTCGTGACATACCTTTGTCGCAAACCGCAGACTCGTCAGCGTCTCCTTGAGATGCGTCTCCAGCGGGCTGACCATGACAAACATGAGCGTCTTGCTGTTGCCGCCGAGCGAGTACTGCAGCAGGTGCGTCAGCTTGCTGTTGCGGTACGGCACGTGTCCGCTGCCGCGGCCGAGCGCCTCGATGACGTCGCCGAGGCACGACAGCGACTTGTTGATGCTCTGCGTCTCCTTCATGCGCTCGCCCTCGGCCCCCGACTGCTTGAGCCGCTCCGAGCCGGCGAGGTCGACGAGGTTGAGCGTGCCCTCGCACCGCTCGCCCGTCGACGCGTTGTGGCCCACGAGCTTGAGGATGAAGACGCTGTGCGACCGCGACGACCGCTCGTTCGACTTGGTCGCCGCCACCGACCGGTTCGACTGCGCCTGCGCGAGCATCGCCTCGACCTTGTCCGCCGAGTCGAGCGCCACCGTCTTGCAGTGCGCCACCGTCGTCTGCTTGCGCCCCTTCGTCGTGCCGAATCTCGAGCCGCTTGCCCTTGCCGTCCGACTCGCGGCCGTGCGGCGCCAGCAGGTCGTTGAGCTCCTCGTTGTACACCTCGATGAACGAGCCCTCCATCGTGTACGTCCACGACTTGTCCTTGAGCTTGGTCATCGTGTCGTAGATCATGTGCGTCGCCCGCGGGATCATGCCGTCCTCCGACGACATGGTGTGCGTCTTGCCCGAGCCCGTCTGGCCGTAGCAGAAGATGCACACGTTGTAGCCGTCGAGCGCGCTCTGCACGAGCTGCGAAATCTCGTCAAACACGTCCTGGTTCAGCGCCGCCGGCGCGAACACGCGGTCAAACTCAAAGTTGAACGTCTTGCGGCTCACGCGGCCCATGGCCGTCGTCTCCTCGGCGCCCTGCAGCGCAATCTCCGCCGACGTCCTGTCGTCGGGGAACGTAATCTTGGCCCCTTCGCCCTCGCCCTCGCCGAGCATCGGCCGCACGCGACACATGACGCGAATGTTGCCCTTGAGCTCCTGGTACTTGTTGAACAGGATGCGGCGCTCCGTCTCCTCCTTGATGAGCTTGTGCCGCGCCTCGTCCGCCGCGAGCAGCGCTTCCTGCAGCTTCGCCTCCATGTTGGCGAACGAATTGGACTGCGCCTGGTTGTCCGATTCGAGAAACTCGACGTGCGACTTGAGCGAGTTGATCTTGGCCTCGAGCGTCACGTTGGAGGCGGCGAGCTCGGAAATGTTGCTGGCGAGCCCCTTCTTCAACGCCTCCTCCCGGTCGAGATCCCCCCGCAAGGCGTCCATCTGCGCCCGCATCTCGGCCATCTCGCGCTCCTTCTTCTGCAGCGCGAGGTGGAGGTCTTGCTGCTCGTTGCCCAGCTTGGACCGCAGCTCCTGCACCTCTCTCGACTGGGCGCTGCGTTCGTCCTCGAGCTCGACCCGGTATTGGCGGTCCAGAGCGTCGAGAGCCTCTCGGTGGGTTTTCTGGAGTCGTTCCGTTTCCTCGCTCAGTTGTTTTCGAAGCTCGTCCTGTTCGTTGCGGTGCCTCCTCGCTTCGTCTTCGAGCTCGTACTTGTGATTTCGCCTCTCTGCCTCGACATCAAACTGCAGCATCTTGAGCTTTTCCCTGGTGCTTTCTAGATCCGTCTGTAGCGTCTCATTGCGTGTTCCGAGTCGTTCTCGCTCCGTCTCGAGGTCGGCCACTGCCATCGTGTTAGCAAGAGCCTCTCTGCCTGCATGTCAGTGAGAAACATGTGGCGGCGTACCTCTCCTCCTCATCAACTCGTGCGCATCGTCGGCGGCCTTTTTTTCGGACAGCGAGTTGTCCATGAGATCCCGCAGCTGCTTCATCTGCGTGTCGACGGCGCCCAATCTCTCGTGGACATCAAGGGCTGTGAAATCGGTCGTGTTAGAGAATTTGCTCAAAAACGGTAGCTTCTGTGGCGACGGGGACTTGATGGGGGACCGCGCATCGCCAGTGAGTGACCTGACAGTCTCCTCGAGCCGGTCCATGTGAGCCTTGATCTGCTTCGACTCGGCCGCGGGTGTGACGGGCGGACAGGTCAAGGCCCCCAGGTTGGGTCGAGATGCCTTGGGCTTGAGCTCTGACAGTCCTCCTGACCTGGGGACGGGTTTGCGGGGCGAGCGAATCGTGATGTTCTCGTGGGATAGGGGCTGGAAGAGGGGTGTGTGTGAGGGGACGGGCCTGATGGGAACCACTTGGCTCCCTTCGACGACGGCGCTTTCGAAGCTGTCATCGTCGATGGACAGGTTCTTGAACTTTCTGTTGAGAGACACTTCCCTCTGCGCGGGTGTTGGTGCTGGGGAGCGTTTCGCGGCCCGCGGTTCCCTGCCCTGCTCCTAGCCGGGGCTGGAATACCGTGGAGCGCTGTGCGGCCGGGGTATTCGGGTCGTACCATTCTGTCCGTGTCCTCCGTCAAAGTCGTCTTCCGGGTTGTGTCCGTGGGACGTCTGGGGTCGTGAGATGGTTGTGTTGCCTCTTGGACGTCCGTACTGATCGCGGTTGCCCAGTGCCGATTTTGATCGATCGAGAGCATGTCGGCCGGCGCCCATACTACTGGCGAAGCTGCTACTCGAGGTCTGACGCGAGCCGGCCGAGGCGGTGGAGGTCGAGGTTTGGCGCGAGGAAAAGCCGCTGGAGGGCTGCTTAAGCTATGGGCGAAGCCGTGTTAGCGAGAGGCCTGGCTGAACGAGGGGCCCGTGACTGGCAACAGCAACGTCGCCTTCCGTTTCTGCCGCCTACGTGGGAAGCAGAAAAGAGACTCACCGAAGTCAATGACTGGCCTTTGATGTGGCCATTTGCTCTCGGGGGGATCTTTCGCAGGCCGGCAGTTGTGGCTGTGGCGGCGGGGTCCTTGTCTGGGTAGTCTCTGGCTCGGTCCATCAACGTCCTCCTCTGAGGCTGCGTCGCTGCTGCTCCCACAGGTCAGTACAGGGCTACCGGCAAGGTGTACGTAGAGGACAGGAGAAAGAAGGGGGCGGAGAGAGAAGGGGACGGAGAGAGAAGGGAAGACAGGAGCATGAGCGCACCTGGCTGGGGCACCTCGCGCTTGGTGCCGGCGGCGATGCCACCAATCTTGGAGGGCGGCGGCATCATGCTGGCGGCGTGAGGACGCGCATTGCTCTGAGATTCGCTGAGCTCGGAGAGGCCGTGAGGCGGCGCGCCGGGTCGGGGCAGCTGGCTTCGCTGCATGGTCGAGGTTCGAAAGGCTGTGTTGTCGCAGGCGGCCGTGGCCGTGTCCATGCTCAAGATGTTCTGGGCGCGGCGGTGAATAGCAACGGGAAACACAACGCAGGACGCGAGGAGCAACGCTCCGTCTCTTGCGGCTCGAGGGGACGACGTCGTGATGGATGGCTTGTTTGTGTCTGGTGGGCGGGGGGGTAGGCGTTGGGCGCACAGAGGTTCGAGACGGTGGTGGGTAGCTCTCTCGCGGTTGTTGCTTCACTTCCCAATTCGGCGTGGGCTGACAGTCTACCTCCGGTGCCTCTGCCTCTGACTGGCGTGGCGTGGATTGCTCTGCCGGGGGTGGATGGCTCTGCCGGGGGTGGATGGAAATGTTTACATGTAATGCAATGCAATGGGTGTCAGTGCTTTTGGTGCCGGGGCAACGAGTGACAGCTTTGTGGATGCCTGAGGCTGCACGTGCACAGGTGCTGCTCAGCCTGGTCATACCGAGCTCACCCGGTGACAGATCTCGGTGTAAAGGTGTGAGGACCCGGCAGAAAAGGCAGGCGGTGACGCTGGCGGGGCCTTCTTCACATGTCAGGCCAATGACGATCTCTTATCATACCACCTTGGGTTCTACCTACCTTAAGGTAAGGTACCTACCTACCTTACAGTTAGGTACTCTGTGGTTATGTGTGACCTCGACGTCTGCCATCACGTCCTGAAGCCCACCACCTTGTGCGTCCACCCTCATGCCTCGTCGGCCATCCAGTCGCCCATCCAGTCGCCTTCGTCTCGTCTTCTGCCCTCTCTCGCCACCTCTGCCGACACACATGCCCGAGGAGCACGACTCAGCTACGTCGTCATCCATCGAAAACGAGCTCTCCGCCTCAACCTCCTCCGCCACTGAAGCCTCTCTCGAAAGCATCCCAACGCCTGGACACAACCCCACCCCCAACGTCACGTCACCATGGAGAAGTTCAGCCAGTTTCGTGACAAGGGCTCAGGCATCTCGCCCTTCATGCCCATCAAGACGCCCGTGTCGCCTCTGACCTACGCCCTCCACACGTCGCTGTTCCTCCTGCGCCTGCCGCTCTTCCTGACCCTGACGGCCACCTATTTCCTCTTCCTCCACCACCTGCCTCTGCCCGTGGTCGTCCGCAAGGCCCTGCTCTGGTCCCTCATGGCCATCCCCGGCCTGTGGTGGATCGACCTGCAGCTCGACGGCGTGCGCCGCGGCACCCTCGCCGACCAGCCGCCCAGCCGCTTCCCCCACCCGGCCTCCGTCATCGCCTCGACCCTGACCTCGCCCATCGACGCCCTCTACCTCGCCGCCATCTTCGACCCCATCTTCACGCGCGCCTACCCCTCGACCCGCAAGCTCGAGCGCGTCTCCCTGCTGTCCGCCGTCGCCGCCGCCCTCGGCCCCGTCCGCCAGACCCCGCCCCCCGGCGCCACCCTCTACGACCTCGACGCCCTGCTCGCCGCCCACCCGACCCGCGTCATCGCCGTCTTCCCCGAGGCCGCCACCACCAACGGCAAGGCCGTCCTGCCCCTGGCCCCCGCCCTGCTCGCCGCTCCCGCCGACGCCGACATCTTCCCCGTCAGCCTGCGCTACACCCCCGGCGACGTCACGACCCCCGTGCCCGGCCGCTGGCTGCCCTTTCTTTGGGCCCTCCTGTCGCGTCCCACCATCTGCATCCGCGTCCGCGTCGCCGAGGCCGTGCGCAACGGCCCCCGCGCCCAGACCAACGGCGCCCACGCGCGGCACGACGACAGCGACGTCACGAGACGCGGCGGCGGCGCCGACGGTGCAGACGGTGCCGACGTCACGATGGAGGAGCAGCGCGTCCTCGACAAGGTCGCCGAGGCCCTGGCCCGTCTCGGGAGGAACAAGCGCGTCGGCCTGACGCTCAAGGACAAGGCTGCGTTTGTGGACGCGTGGAACCGGCGGACGAAGCGGTAGGCTGCGGCGAGCGAGCCATGCGGAGGATACACGCTCGCCTAGGAGGATATATGGTACTGGTCCATGTTATGTCACGACCTTGCACATCTGACGAGGCTGCCCGACAAGTGACAACGGATGGGAGTTGGAGCGGCAACTTTTTTTTTTTCCTTTTTTTTTTCCTTTTGAAATTTAGGTCTGGCTGGCGTGACGTTTGGGGCGGACATCTCGGATGCTTGGGCCTTCCACGCGTGTGTTTCTCCTGTTTTGTTAACGAGGCACCCCCGACTTGGCGCCTCCTGATACCACTTGCGCGAAAATTGAAACAAGTCAAATGACGAGATGGCCGGCGCAACGATGAACAGAATGCCCGAAAACAGCGTGACGAGACAAGTGATGGCATAATAAATTTTGGAACTCCGTGTAGGTACCCCTTTTCCATGTCCAACAGTGGTATAGCACAGCATGGGGAAAAACCAAACCACCCGCCCTCTCCTGGCGCACATCGTACAACGCTTCGCACACGCTTTGCCGCCGTCCTCCCAGCGGCATCTACCTCGCACACCCTTTCAGCTGTCCTCCCAGCGGCAATCTACCTCGCACGACCATGTTCAGCGACGCCCAACGGCAGACGACACCTTAGATGGGACCGTCGGTGACGCAGCCAGAGCTGGCGTCGCTGACGAGCGACGCGTACTTCTTGAGGGTGCCCTTGGTGTACTTGAGCGCGGGGGCCTTCCAGTCGGCGCGGCGGCGGGCCATCTCGGCGTCGGACACGTCCGAGTCGATGACGCGGCGCTCGGCGTCAATGGTGACGACGTCGCCGTCGCGGACGAGGCCGATGGGCCCGCCCTCCTGGGCCTCGGGCACAATGTGGCCGATGAGGAAGCCGTGGCTGCCGCCGGAGAAGCGGCCGTCGGTCAGCAGCGCGACGTCCTGGCCGAGGCCGGCGCCCATGATGGCCGAGCTCGGCTTGAGCATCTCGGGCATGCCGGGCCCGCCCTTGGGGCCCTCGTAGCGGATGATGACGACCGTCTTGTCGCCCTTTTTTATGTCGCCGGCCTCGAGCGAGGCGATAAAGTCGTCCTCGTCGTCGTAGACGCGCGCCTTGCCCGTGAAGACGAGGCCCTCCTTGCCCGTGATCTTGCCGACGGAGCCGCCGGGCGCGAGCTGGCCGCGCAGGATCTGAATGTGGCCCGTCGGCTTGATGGGCTTGCTCAGCGGGCGGATGATCTGCTGGTCGGCGGGGAAGTCGGGCAAGGCGTCGACGTTCTTGGCCATGGTCTGGCCCGTGACGGTGACGCCCGAGCCGTCGAGGATGCCCTCCTTGAGGAGGAACTTGAGGAGGGCCGGCGTGCCGCCGATGCGGTGCATGTCGGCCATGACAAACTTGCCCGAGGGCTTGAGGTCGGCGAGGAAGGGGGTCCTGTCGGAGACGGCCTGGAAGTCCTCGACGGTGAGCTTGATGCCGACGCTGTCGGCAATGGCGAGCAGGTGGAGGACGGCGTTGGTGCTGCCGCCGAGAATGTTGACGACGATCATGGCGTTCTCAAAGGCCTGGCGCGTCAGGATGTCGCGGGGGCGGAGGTCCTCGCGCAGAAGGTTCTTGATGGCCTCGCCGACGTTCTCGCACTCGGCCTTCTTGGCCGGGTCCTCGGCCGGGCTGCTGCTGCTGCCGGGCAGGGTGAGACCGAGCGTCTCAATGGCCGTGGCCATGGTGTTGGCCGTGTACATGCCACCGCAGGCGCCGCTGCCGGGGCAGGCGTGGCGGATAATGTCGAAGCGCTCCTCCTCGGTGATCTCGCCCGTGATGTACTGGCCGTAGGCCTGGAAGGCCGACACAATGTCGACGTTCTCGCCCTTGTTGGTGCAGCCGGGCTTGATGGTGCCGCCGTAGACCATGATGCTGGGGCGGTTGACGCGGCCCATGGCCATGGCGACGCCGGGCATGTTCTTGTCGCAGCCGGGCAGGGAAATGTTGCCGTCGTACCACTGGCCGTTCATGACCGTCTCGATGCTGTCGGCGATGATCTCACGGCTCTGCAGGGAGTAGCGCATGCCCTTGGTGCCCATGCTCATGCCGTCGGAGACGCCAATGGTGTTGAAGCGGTAGGGGATGAGGCCGGCCTTGGCGACGGACTCGCGGACGACGGCCGACAGGTCCATGAGGTGCATGTTGCAGGGGTTGCCCTCGTACCAGACGGAGGAGATGCCGACCTGGGCCTTGTTCATGTCGTCTTCGCTGAGGCCGGTGGCGTAGAGCATGGCCTGCGAGGCACCCTGGGACTTGGGCTGGGTGATCTTGGACGAGAATTTGTTCAGCGTCTCGTCGCCGGCGCGCGAGGCCGTCGTAGACAGGGTTCGACTGGAGGAGAAGGGAAAAAAATACAAGTCAGTATGCCACATTCAACAGAGATCCAGCTGGGGGCTCATTGGGTTCATTGGCACAGGGGAACATACGCATAGCTCGAGGGCGTCGACCGAACCTTCGAGGCAGCTCGAAGGGCGGATGACCGCATGCCAAATGACCTCGAAAGCATGGTGGGCGGCGGTGTTGGTATCAGTGTCGGTGTCGGTGTCGGAGATGGCGACCGAAGGGTGTAGAGACCGAGAAAGACCTTGGTCCTGATGCCGGGAGCACTGCTTCGACTTGATCGTGCCGGAATGGTGTCCGTGATGAGTCAATGGCGAGGGCGTGGGCGGCGGAGAGACCTAATGATCACAGGGACAGACGCTAAGACGAGAGAGCTTCGGTGCGATGCCGTAGCTGAGCACTGGCGAGCACTGAGCGAGCCTAAGCACAAGCACGAGCACTGAGCGAGCACTGTAAGGTACCTCAGTCAGCGCACGCACGAACGTCTGAAATTTTGGGCGATGTCGGCTCTGGACCCTCCCCGCATTGCAATAGACGCCGTCCTATTGGCCGCATCCATCTGCCGAGTGCATCGGGAATAGCGCGGAGGCACTTGGTTGTGGGGGCATGTCGATATGCGAAAGCCGTCTAGTTGCATTCAGTTCGCTCATGCATGGTAAGGTACTCGAGGTACCGTTTCTTGCTTGGTAGCCACGCTTGTCAAGAGACCATGCAGATGAGCATTGAACAGCATGAGCTGGCTTGGCATGAGCTGGCTTGGCATGAGCTGGCTTGGCATGAGCTGGCTTGGCACTCGGTGGTGCATTATTCGTTGACTTAATGACTCCTTGGTGTTCCACTCCAGTAATCATGCCGAAAGCTTGGTGTTCTCCTCGTTCCTGTCCTGAGTCGTCCTTGTGCCCACGTGACGATAAGATAAGGAGCTCTCGCGATGCCGGCCGCCATGGCAGCAGCAGGCGACTGCTACAGCAATACAGCGATACAGCGATACAGCGACATTCGCGACGGTGCAGCTCCCTTCGTTTTCCCGGCATCGCACCACCATGCTCTGTCGACGCCCTCTCCTCCGAGCGCTGGGGACCGTCCCAAGGCCACAGGCGCGGGCCATGTCCCATTTCGCAGGCGGACCGGCCCAGCCGCCGAGCGCCAGCATCCCCATGCCCTACATCACCGAGGTTTCAGTACGTGCGAACCCTCCTGCGCTTTTACGTTGGGCTTTTTGGCTGCGGCGAGCTGACCCATGCCATAGTCCAGCGGCTGGAGGACATGTTAGTTCCGAGCTTCGATCTGCTCCCGGCGACCCCCTCCATCGGCTGACGCGGTTTCCCCCTCTCCCTGCCAGACGACATTTTCTCCAAGCTGCTACAGGTACGGCCTTTCCTGCACGGCCAGACGCAACGGGGAACGAGGGCGAGGACTGACCTCGGCCACCCTTAGGAGAGAATCATCTGCCTCAACGGCGCCATCGACGACACCGTCTCGGCGTCCATCGTCGCCCAGCTGCTCTGGCTCGAGTCGGACAACCCCGACAAGGCCATCACGCTCTACATCAACTCGCCCGGCGGCTCCGTCACCTCGGGTACGTCCCCCCTTCTCGCTGCATGGCATGCTCTCGCTGCATGGCATGCTCTCGCTGCATGGCATGCTCTGGCACGCTCATGGCAGGCGCCTGACAGAAGACGGCGCTGACAGAAGACGGCGCTGACAAAGGCCAGGCCTCGCCATCTACGACACAATGACCTACATCAAGTCGCCCGTCTCGACCGTCTGCCTCGGCGCCGCCTCGTCCATGGGCGCGCTGCTGCTGACGGGCGGCGAGGCCGGCAAGCGCTACGCCCTGCCGCACAGCTCCGTCATGATCCACCAGCCGCTCGGCGGCACGCAGGGCCAGGCGTCGGACATTCTCATCTACGCCCACCAGATCCAGCGCGTGCGCACCAAGCTCAACGAGATTATGCGGCGCCACCTCAACGCCGCCTTTGGCCGCGACCGCTACTCGCTCGCCGAGGTCAACGACATGATGGAGCGCGACAAGTACCTGACGCCCGAGGAGGCCAAGGAGATTGGTGTCATTGACGAGATTCTGACGCGCCGCACCGACAAGGACGAGAAGGAGAGGGGCGATGCGCAGAAGACGAAGCCGTAGACGGTCGTAGCTGGCCGTACGTTGTAGACGGTCATGGCCAGTCGTAGACTGCCGTGGGGCCAGCCGTAGACTGCCGTGGACTGGGAGCCGTAGCGCTGGGAGGCCAAGAGTTGGACGTTAGCCTCGTGTCAGCTATAGTCAGGAAACGCATCATCTATTCATCAGCAAGCCTAAAAATGTAGAGAAAAGCACTACAGGCTACAGGCGCTTGAGGCAAAAGACTCTCCAAGCACATTCATGCGCTGCAGTGCGCCGTACCCCTGACGCGCCCCGCCCCGCCCCGCCAAGCGCGTAAAGCTCCAACGTCACTTGCCATGCACCAAGCTCCCAAAGCACCCTCTCCAACTCTGCAATCCTTCGACCTCTGACCCCCCCCCCCCTCAACGACCACCGAAACCTTCGCCCATTCCCGGTGATGCCACCATGCAACCCCCTCCGCAGAGCCTCGTCCCTCCTCGGTAGGGCCACACAACGGCACCCCCCCTGCCCCCCATGCCGCCACGCCAGCACGAATCGCCCCTCGCGCGCCGAAACCCAAGCCGCCCTTGCAGCGCAGGTCGACCGAGCCCTACAGGCCGACGAGCACGGCGCCACGCTCAAGCTGCACCCGCACAGCAAGACGATGGAAACGGTCGTCGGCGCGCTGCCGCTGTCGCCCGTCATGGACCCGGCGTGGATCGAGGCGAAGCGGCGCTTCCGCACCCCCAAGCCCAAGACGCCCGCTCACACCTATCTCGGCCGGTTCAGGAAGAAGCTCTACCTCAACCCGTACGGTACGTCGAAGAAGAGCTTCCCTCCTGCTCTGCCCCATTCTGGGCGCTGCCCCATTCTGGGCTCTGCCCCCGCACGGAATTGCCTGACTGAATACCTGAGCGACAACAGTCACTGGGAGACGGCCTGGCGCCTCTTGCACGGCGACGAG